AACGACGCCCGGTGTGGGCGCTTGGGCCGAACGGTGCTCTTTTGTCCCGTTGGTTTTTTTTCTGCCTGTCCTGGTGTTCAAAAGTGAAACCAGAACTGAAGAACCTGTACAAAACTGAAAATTCAAAATCACGTTTTGATCCACGGGCGCGGACGGAATTAAACAGTCAGTTTTATCATCAACGTGCTGCTCGTTATGCAATTATCGGAAATAACATTTTTCCATTTACTCCCACTCAAAAGAAGAAAACCAATAAAAGTAAAAACAAAGGAACTCGTTTTGAACTACGTTATATATGCGTATTAAACGATTAAGGAAACAGAAGAAAGCGAGAAAAGACGACCCATTTTGGCTGTCTCTATATTTTTATATTTCCTATCTTTTTGTTTCTATTCCTATTTCTTTCTTTCATCCTCTCAGTTTCTCTCTCTCTTTCTATTTTACTATACTTTTTTATATACTATAAAAATTCAATTTATTTCTCTTTCTTTCTTTCTCCCTCCCCATCTATTTATCTATTTTTCCACCTATAATTTTGACTACCTCCCTGTCTGTTTAACATTGGCATATGTATTTTTTGAAATCTAAAATAATTTCAAACAACATTAACTACATTTTAATTTGTTCTAATAATGCGAGTAAAAAAAACAGAGGTTTTAGGGTATTAAATGCCATTTTTTTGAACACTGTTTATTTTAACATAAAAAGGCCAAAAAAGATCACAAGGAAAATCTTAATACAAGTTTATTTTAGTCATAAAGAACTTTTATGCCAAGGGGAGATCGAGAAAAGTTTATTTTAATTCTGCTAAAATTCTTTGTCTTTTTATTTATATGTTTGTTTTTCCCTCTACATATTTATCTAATCTTCCTATTTTTCTCCTTTTTGCTTGTCTCTCTACCTTTATATTCTCCATCTGTTTGTCTATCTTTCTACCTATAATTTTGACTACTTTTCTGTCTGTTTAACATTGGCATATGTATTTTTCGAAATCTAAAATAATTTCAAACAACATTAATTACTTTAACCCTAGAAAACCAAAAAGATCACATGGAGGATCTTAGTATAAATTTATTTTAGTCATAAAGAGCTTTTATGACAAGGAGGGATCGAGAAAAGTTTATTTTAATTCTGCTAAACTACATAACGGCCGGTTGAAATTTTCTCAGTAAGGGGAAAAACCCGCACGTGCTGTGCAAATTTTAATATCTCTCGGGAATGCGGTTAATTTGCCTAGGGAAAATGGATTTTCACACAGGCCTGAGTGATAGGTAAAGGATCGGGGTGAAAAGTGGGTAAATAATATTAGCACGTGTAATAGGCACTTCGGCGTTTAACAAATATAATTTTCCTTCGGATAACAGCTGAATCTTAATAAATTTTATTGTTAGATTTTGGTTTAGTGTTTCTGAAGAGTTGATCAAGTTTCAGCATTAATTGTTGTTTCATATATTTATCAAATTTTAACGGAATCAATACAAACTTTTTAGTCATTATTGATTGGCTCTGAACTTCTTTGTTTGGCTCCTTTCCATTAAAATCAAGAACTTTTATAGCAACTGCATGATACGAAATGCTTTTGAATTTTAAGATTTTCTTCTTCAGATTTTATGAAACCAATATAAACAGATTTTATGACCGAAAAAAGACGAGTTCGACTAACACATTGGTCAAAGCGAGAATACGCGGACCAGTATACAACCCGCCATCAAACCGGGAATATAAGAAAAAGATTAGTCGAAATAGTTTCGAAAAAGCGCTTACAGGCAAAAGGGTCATTGTGTGAGAATTTTCATTTCCAGGATCGACTATCAGACACGGTTCTCCCTTTCTCTCTCAGCCAATTTCCAATTCGCCTCGCGTCTCGTTTAGCTATCAACAATCGAGAGAGGTCATTTTATTTCCTGGTTTTATTTACCATAGTTATAAAAATCAGATCGCTTAACAATTCGAAAGTTTAAAAAAAAATTGCAGACTAACAAAAACGTTTGTTTTGTTCTATTTGTCTATGCAGTGACAAATACCAGCATGAAACATCATTTTTATTAAAATTTCTGTACGATTCAATGTGCTAACGTTATTCAATATCGTATAGGCAAATAGAAAAATATAACAAGTAGTGACAATTAATTAAGGTTTTTAGTTGAGATGAAAAAAAGTTAATGGCACGAGAGGGATTCGAACCCACGACCTGGGGACCCCACGGGGTTGAGATGGGGAGTTGATGTCCGAGTGGATCGAGGTCACGATAGCTCAGGTGGTAGAGCAGCGGCGTATCTAGCCGAAGGTCGTGGGTTCGAATCCCTCTCGTGCCATTAACTTTTTTTCATCTCAACTAAAAACCTTAATTAATTGTCATGTATTAATAGGTCAAGCGGACCACGAAAGTAGTGAAATAACAAGTTGTGTTTTCATTCCATATTGCTATTTTTCAATTCATTAGATTGCGTGGTCCGATTGGCCAAATAACATCTTTCAATTAATTAATCTTTATGTGAGGTATTGCGGCGTATTTAGACGTAGGTCGTGGGTTCGAATCCCGCTCGTGACACTGACTTTTTTTATCTCAACCAATCCCTTACATAAAGATTAATTAATTGAAAGATTGCTATTTCTATTCAAACAACCATACATTTTCTTGAATAAATATTCTTTATTTAACTTACCAAGAAAACAAAATAATAACTTTTACTGTTTTTATACTTTGTTAAAAATCTTTGGCAAAAAGTACTTGAATCTGAATAACAAGTATTTCTCGAAATTGTGAAGTCCCCGTTACTTATCTCTCCCTATTGGTCCAAGGTTTGGCAGTAAATCTCAAGATAGTAAAAAACCTGCAGAGCATGTCTTTTTTTTACAAGGGCTTCACGTTTAAGTACCGTTCTGTGGGTGTGGAAGAGGTCATTTCACAACATAACCCTTCTGAACTTTATTTCAATCCTATTCACCCTCTTATTCTTACATATTCATTAAAAAAAATCTTACTTATAGCAATTTCTTTTAAAATTGTATTGGTGATGCTTCTGAATCCGCTCGGTTGAATTATCATTATTAAAAAAAATGTAAGTGGTCAATATTTGGTCAAATTCACACTAGATAAAACTATATTTATTTATTCATTCACTCTCTCACTCTCACCCTCTTCTTCCCTCTCTCTCATTTTTTCCTTTCTCACGTATTTGTATATCTTTCTTCTCTTGCCATCTATTTTTTTTTTCACTCTTTTTTCTCTTTCTCCCACTCAATTTCTAACATTCTTCTTCCTTCTACCATCTCTCATTATCTCCCTTTCAATCTTTTATAGATTTTTCTATTTCTCTTTTCATTTATCTTCTTGTTTTTTTCTTTGCCTACACTCTCACTTTATCTCTCTCGCTTCCTCTCTGTACCACTTACTCTCACCCTCTCCTCCCCTCTCTCTTATTTTCTCCCTTCCCACGTATTTGTATATTTTTCTTCTCTTGCCATCGATTGTTTTTGTTTTTCACTTTTTTTCTCTCTCTTCCTCTCTCTCCCACTCAATTTCTAATTCTCTTCTTTCTTCTCCCATCTCTCACTATCTCCCTTTCTATCGTTTATAAATTTTTCTATCTATCTTTTCATTTTTTCTTTGCCACTCTCACTCCCTCACTTTATCTCTCTCTCACTCTTTCTCTCTCCCTGTTCTTCTTTCTACTTCTTTCTCTCTCTTTACATCAATTTTCATCTATTCATTGATCTTTCTACCTTTTGTCCATATTTTTATCTTTCTCTCTGTATTCTCACTCTCTCACGGTTTCTCACTTTTCTTTATCTCTATCTGTCTCTATATCTTTCTTAGTTTTTTAATTTATCTGTCTGTTTTCCCTCTACCTATTTATCTAACCTTTCTACTTTTTGGCTGTCTGTCTTTTTTTATATTCTCTTTCTTTTTGTCTATATTTATATTTCTTTGTCCCTCTCTCTCTGTCTATTTTTCTATTCTTTTTTGTCTCTATTCCTATTTCATTCTTTCTTCCTTTCAGTTTCTTTCTCTGTCTATTTTTCTATTTTTGTGTGTCTCTATTTCTCTTTCTTTCTCCCTCTCCATTTATTTATCTATTTTTCTATCTATAATTTTGACTCTCTGTCTTTTTGTTGCTGCCACTCTGTTCTTTTTCTCTCCTTTTCTTTCTTTTTCCTCTGTCTCCCTCTCTTTCATTCACACCCAAAGTAATATTTTACTGTGTATATATTTTTTTGGCTTTTACAGTTTGCCTTCGAAATGATTGATCCGTGTAAGTGTATTTCTGAAAGAACAGAAAGTAGCATACGTGTCCGTCTCACTCGCTGGTTACCTCCGTGCTGGTTTTAATTCCCTCTAATTATAAACTTTTTATAAAAACTAAAATTTTTAAAACTTATTTCTGTGTGTAATTATTTAACCATTTGGTTAACATATTTTTTTAAAATACATGTTACTCATAGATGCCTTGCATCATTGCATCATGCCGAATATAAATGTTATATATTGTTCTTTTTGTATAAAGTTTATACAAAGATTTTTGTCGTATAAAGTATAGAACATTATTTTTTCTGTGATTGGTAAGACTGTTATAATAAATCATGTGGACAGTTTGATAAAGCTTCTTAAATTAAATAGAACATTTCTGATTGAATATTAAATTTACTAAAGGCTTAAATTTTTACTTTTGAAGTTCGAAGTATTTGATAATATTTAATTTTAAGTATCTTTTCAGTGGTGCTTAATAATTTTCTCCGATTGTTGGTCTATTTAGTGTAGGTGTAGTCGCATGGTGCCGAACCAATAATTTAAAAAAAATTATAGTAAAATATTTTGGATAGACGTTTATTAATTATTGTTTTTTTTTTTTTTTTTTTTTTTTAGTATTTGATTTGTATCGGTTTGCCCTTTTCGCAAGAGGTCTTCTTGGACTGGCGTCTCTTTTTTCGTGAAAATTTTCACTAAATGACAATTTTTTCAAACTAAACTAGTAGTAGTGTCGAATAGTTTGACTTACCAGTGAGAGCGGCCGAGAGGAAGACGGTCGTCCAAAAAAGAGGTTGATCCATGTTAGACAGAAAGCCAAGACACGTCTTCACTTCTTCCAAACCGCACAAGTTTCACAGTAACGACACTTTCCTCACCCACCTTTCAAGTCTCTCGTTTTCATCGCAGTTGTTTTTCCTCGTCACTCGAGATAAGAACCTCACCGTTCACCGTCTGACCCGGGACTAGCGGTAAGTGGGACGAGGTACATCCGCCGGCCATCTTGGAATACCTGCCGGCACTCCCTCCACCTCGTGCCAACGATATGGTATGAAAGTGAACTCCTGAGCTAGGATGTGTAAAGCGTTTGGCTTGATTTGTATTTGAAGAATCTAACAGTTCTAGAATGATGAGTTTAAGACCACACGATTGAGACAAACAGCGAAGAAAGTCGATAGACATGATTTTACGCAGAATCTAGTGCCTATTTTGGCAATCTTCTTCCAACCATTTATAAAAACCCTAAAAAAATGTCTCTTTTATAACTAATACAACAGCCAAAAGAGATTATGAGGTATTTCAACCCACTGAAAGCCTATTAACTGCAATCAAATTCAAACGCTTAACCTCATCTTCACATCGTAAATCTGTTCATTTGCGAATAATTAGATTAGATGAGATGGAAATCATTATATTCATCATAAAAGACATACTGGTTTTTCACTTACTGGGTTTTCTTTGCCTGCCAGTAGAAACATTTTCCTAATTAGGCGTTCCCAGTAACACATAATATTTTTTGGTTCTTACGTCTTCTTGGCAGTAACTTCTTCAACAACCGCGAATATTTTCAAAAGCTGGATGAGTCAGAATGTCCAGATGACCAATCTGCAATTCCTAATTTTATCGGGTTCAATCGAAAATGATAAATGTGGATATTAGGCCAAACTTAGATGAAGCTAGCACTTTTATTTCCTTGGTTTGCTTATGGATCAAATAATTTTATTGTTCTTTAAAATGTAACTAAAGGAAATCAGCTAACCACGTGGTTAGTAGATGAGTAAGCAACAAAATTAAAACTAAAACGGCCTTAATTTACAATATAGAAGGTTAGCGAAATTTTAAGCATCAAATAAACTAGGAAATAATCTTATGGCACAAAATACAGTTTGTCCTACTTTCTTTATGTGAATTTGATTTTTGGCCGAAGGAAATATTATCACAATGAGGCAGCTTAACTATGTTTGACAGTTTGGTTGGAAGAAACTGACTGGATCCTGAGGCTTTTGAGACAAACAAAATTTTTGAAGATAGTTTTACATTAAAGATTGTCGCCATAGTTTATTAAAAGTCTTAAGCCTATGAACTGCAACATACTCTAACCACAACGTCAAAACGTATACTTTATAGCATAATAAAAAAAAGGGTAGATTTCTCCTCAAGGTCTGCGGGGTGACCTATTGTTGGTCAGTAGTTTTAACTTTGGTTTGGTTGTTTTAAATTGGCCAGCAGTTTTAAGTTTATATACTTAAGTTTCCTGCTAAGGGATACAAAGTGATGACACTACTAGAGTAAACTTCTCTATGTGCACCATCGGTTTGACGATTAGGGTGATCGGATGATGGAAGCAATGTTCCTTTTCCTTCCTAATCCTTGCTTTCTCCTTACCCCAATCTGCTTTGGCTGAGGCTTCCTAGGTGCATCCCTCAGGCAATATATGCAGACACTTAAGTTTCCTGCTAAGGGATACAAAGTGATGACACTACTAGAGTAAACTTCCCCATGTGCACGATCGGTTTTGAAGACTAAGGGTAACCGATGATGGAAGCAATGATCCTTTTCCTTCCTAATCCTTCCTTTCGCCTTACCCCAATCTGCTTTGGCTGAGGCTTTCTGTTTGCATCCCACAGGCAATATATGCAGACACTTAAGTTTCCTGCTAAAGGATACAAAGTGATGACCCTGCTAGAGTAACTTTCCCTATGTGCACCATCGGTTTTGACGATTAGGGGTAACCGATGATGGAAGCAATGTTCCTTTTCCATCCCTTATCCTTACCCAAATCTGCTTTGGCTGAGGCTTCCTGGGTGCATCCCTCAGGCAAAATATGCAGACACTTAAGTTTCGTGCTAAGGAATACAAATTGCTGTCACTACTAGAATAATCTTTCCTATGTGAGCCATCGGTTTTGACGACTAGGAGTAAATGATGAAAGCAATGATACTTTTCCTTCCCTATCCTTCCCTTCTCCTTACCCCAATCTCCTTTGGCTGAGGCTTCCTGGGTGCATCCCTGAGGCAATGGGTCCAAATAATAGGGGGTTCTTAGGAACTTGATCAGTCTCACCTTAAAAATAAAACTGAACCACGGGATTGCAAGGCTAGGCTCCAATTAAGGTTGAACTCGTTAGTAGTCGTGGTTTGAGAACAACTTTACCTTAGCTTGGGGGTGGAGGGCTGGATGAAGCTTTTGTTGGAAGCCACATAACTTCCTTTTAAAAAGCATATATATAGATCTGCCATTGTTAGAGTACTTCTGAACCTAGTTAGGATTGTACCAACTCGCTTACCGGGCGTTGTGACATCTTGGCGTAGTATCGGGCCACTGAAACCTAGGGGGTGAGTCAGTACGTTGAAGATCCTCAGTCTGATTCAACTCAGTTGTGTAAAGTTTGGAACATCTGCATAAGGTGAAGAGCTCGACTTTTCCCATTTCTTATATTTCAAGTCCGACTATTATCGCTTTTTTGTTGAATATATTAGCATCTAATTGAGCAGCATGATAGGAAACGACTAAATTTCAAATATTTTCAATCAACCAGAAAGCAAAAATAAGGTGACAAGAATAAACAAAGATATTGGGAAAACATTTACCAACAGCAGGTCTACCGTAAAAGTACAACTCCACCAAAAGATGCTGAAACGTGTCTGTCAGAGCAGGACGATCGGAAATGACCAAACTGCAACTTGTCAAACACAATAAGAGAAAACAAACAAAACAGACTAGAAAGACTGAATTATAACTTAGAACAGTTCAAAAAGTTTTATTAAAAAGTACCTATCAATCAACCGTATTAAAGAAACCTGTTATAACAGCCTAAAACAGTGTTAATTTAAATGTTTCAGCAATGTAATTTAGCATTAAGAATATTACGAGTTTTTTGGGGTATTTCCATTGATCAATTTTAAACCAGTGTTGTAATGTTTCCCAAAAACCCCTTACTTTAGGTATAAATTAAAAATTCTTTACAAGTTTCCAGACTTGTTGTCACGAACTAAATTCCTTAAGTCCGGTCTGTGAATATTTATCCACTGACTTAGATAGTTCGAAAAAGGGGGCGATAAAAGGCGATCGAAGGCATAACGTCACAAAAATGTACCACAGTTGTGTCGAATATTATCTACAACATTCATCTTAACTTCTACACGAACACTTATCACACATTTTCTGACAGAGTATGCAGAATATTAAAAAAATACTATAATTCTTGCACTAATCGGCTTTATTAGAAAATATTATAAATACGTCCTAATTTCTGTTTGTTTGTTTCATTTATTCTGTTTAGTTTAAGACTGACTAGCTTAATTCTTGCTCCTATTGACATAGAAGGATCAATTTTAAAGACTGCAAAAATGTAAACATCGAACATAATTTTTGTCTTGCCTTTGTGCATTTACTTGGATTATTTTGAGGCTTAAGTTGTTAATTCTATCACCAAGCCATTTCAAAGAGTCGATATTACAGGAAAAGCTTGCGAATACTTAGAATTTTTTGTTTTCTGCATTTATTTTAACTATTTTTAAGCGTACGAACTTTATTCTTGCTGTAATCGTTCAGAAGATAAATTATGTAAGAATCAAAGAAAAGTATTTCGAAAATAAATTTTGTCTTGCCTTTGTGCGTTGTATTCTAGCACCAAGCCTCTGCAAAGAGTCGATTTTACAGGAAAAGATTATGAATACTTAGAATTTTTTGTTTTCTGCATTTATTTTAAATATTTTTAGGCGTATGAACTTAATTCTTGCTACCATTTGTTTATTTTGAGGTTTATGTGGTTAATTCTAGCACCAGTCCACTGCAAAGAGTCGATTTTACAGGAAAAGATTATGAATAGTTAGAATTTTTTGTTTTCTGCATTTATTTTAAATTCTTTTAGGCGTACGAACTTAATTCTTGCTACAATCATTCGGAAGGCGGATTTTCCGAAAAACAAATACAAATATTTCGAAAACAATTTTTATCTTGCGTTGTACTCTGTTTATTTTGAGGTTTATGTGGTTCATTCTAGCACCAGTCCACCCCAAAGAGTCGACTGTATAGCAAAATACTATAAATTTATCGATTTTTATTTTGTTGCGTTCATTTTACGTACTTTTAGGTGTGCGAGCTTAATTATGGCCCCAATCGATTTGAAGGGTCGATTTTTATAAGAAAAACAAACAAATACCTCGAAAATAATTTGTCTAGTTGAATCTTTGCATTTATCTTGATTAATTGAATTCTACGATGATTGTTGGGCCAATCAAAGGTTATAATAATTATTGATTATTTTGAGGCTTATATGGATAATTATAGCACCAATGTACAATCTACCCTAAATATATATATATATATATATATATATATATAAATTAATAATATTTAATTATACATTTCAATCATTAATTATATAATATTTATTTAAATATTATACATTATTTAACTTTTTTCTATGTTCATTTTATGTACTTAGCTTAACGTTTGCTTCAATCAACTTAGAAGCGTCCATTTTCCAGAAAAATATTATAAATAGCCAAAAAATCTTTGTTTTTTTGGGGGGGGGGGTTTACGTAGCTTATTTAGAGGTTTACGAGTTTAATTATCAGGCATGATTACTTTCTAGAAATGTTTTGCATTAACAGAAACACACACAGCATTAATTACAGATCAGATACATGCAAACTCAGCCGTAGCTACGCCAACATCATAGAGCAAATAAACCATCAAACTTTATATTTTATATTACCCCCTCAGTTACCGTCTTTAATAATTAACTTGTTTTTCAATATTGAATAAAAACCCGAATCCCAAATCCAATCCATATAATCCCCCATTCTCGACTTCCTTTGAGTGAAATAGAACCGCCACGTCAAATAAAATTTCCCGAATTTACCGAAAAATTTTATTCGATCCTCCACTCTTTCATGATAATATAAAAACAGGGTAATACAAATCCACGTTTTACAACAATTTCAAACGAAACGAATATGTCACTTTATGTATGAA